CCATTTAGGCTGCACCATATTTCTGAGTTTTAAAGGTTCCCTCCAGCCCCCCAAAGAATTTACATTAGGTAAGTATGTGACATGTATGCTCTTGGTATGTGTAATACATGTGCATATTATATTATCATAAGTTCATATTACAATTTATTTAAAAAGTCCACGGTCACATTAGAAAGCATATTTTACAGTGGTAAAGCAGCAACAGTCTTTATTTATTACACTTCTAAAACATAATCCAACATTATGAGTAAAAAGGAACTCTGATTATCATTTAAAACATTTAAATTTGAAATTACCTACTAAACAGAAAATCTTTACATTCAGACAAACGCAATGTATCTGTTGGTGTTTTACAGACACAGAATTTCTGTAGGGTTTGGGCCCTATCAATAGTTTCGGTCAGGTACAACGGCAACAAGATAGAGCAGTAAAATGTGGGGGGCGGGGGGCAGCTGTAGTGGACACTAAAGAGGAAAGGCCCCTTAACCAGGCCTGGCCAGTGAACGGCCCTGCTGGTGACGCCCGCTGAGCCTGGGCCCTGGCACTTCCCACCTCAAGGCTCCAGTGGCCCGGACCCTGTGGGACCAGTTCCAGGAAGCAGCCGTGCTTTCCGTGAGTCACAGAGCTTCCGGAGTCCTTAACATTTACCTCGATGTGTCCGTGGGACAGTCGGACCCCACACTCCTTACGTCCGTGTGACGTCTTTCACTTTGTATCCCCCCCGATCACCCCAGGACCCCACCCAACAAGGTTCTAGATGCTTACGCTGGGCAGACCGCCTGACCCTAGAACCAGCCCAGGCTCCCATCATGATCCCCATGGGACACCAGTGATCACTGAAGGGTCTTTCGGGCCAGATTATGGCGGTGGCTTTAGCCAGGGCGAAGAAAGGCTGAGGATATTACCCACCGCTGACAGGGCTGCCACGTGGGCTGAGCCAGCACAAGACACATTTGAAATCACTAAGACTAAACTGTGTACGTACAAACAATAATGAAGGTTACAAAAACCAACAACCACAAAAACAGAGCAGGCCTCTCAAAATCCAGAAACCAGAAATCCATTTAAAAATGTTTAAATATAATTACACAAAGAGGAAAAAAAACCCCTCAGCTACACCACAAAGTTAAGCAACCTTATTTGCAAATCTACATGACTGAACAAGGACCTGTGCTGGCATCATTTACTACGTGAACTTTGGTACTTTCTCCCTTGATATTTTAGGACACGTCGGAGAATGTTAAGTAGGAAATGTACAGAGAAGGCACTATCCTGGCACTAGCAAGAAAAAAAAAAGTTAATCCCCTTTCCCCCTGCCCCCAAATTCACGCTAATCATGTGAATTTTAATACTCCACGATGTACGCTCTAAACCCAATCCTTTAAAATGCTGTGCGAACTGCAGTTTGCATGTTGACTGGCAGCGGCTTGAAGCACGGCAGGAGAAAATCAGGTAGTAATGTCACGAGGGAGAGCTGGGATCTTGGCACAGCGTTATCGTGTGGTTTGTAATCTCAGAATATGGCTGATTTACAAAGAAAGAAGACTAATCTGCTCCTGTGGCAGTATCAGTACTGCGGGGCGATAGCTTGCCTTACTCTCCCTGCTAAGCATTCACGTTCATTTAGAAAATAACTCAGTGAATATAGACTCTGATTCAAAATACGTTTAACAACTACCAGGACTCAGCACATACGTTGGCTAATTAAAAAAAAAAAAAAAGGTTAAAATAGCCTTTATTCATAAAATTAAAAGAAATGCTTTTGTATTTTAAAGGAAAATAATTCTGAAACATATATTTTCCATTCACTATGGATGGTCACAGTGAAGTTTAACATATACCAAGGTTCGTTTTTTCTCTACGGTATGAGAAATTATACCTTTACTCTAAGGTGCCCCAAATGATGTTTTTGGTCTTAGGAAGTTTTCTTTTATTATTATTACTTTTTAAAATGTTTTATTTACTTCTGACAGAGAGAGACAGCGTGAGCAGGGGAGGGTCAGAGAGAGAGGGAGACACAGAATCTGAAACAGTCTCTAGGCTCTGAGCTGTCAGCACAGAGCCCGATGCGGGGCTCAAACCCACAAACCGTGAGATCATGACCTGAGCTGAAGTCAGATGCTGAACCGATTGAGCCACCCAGGCACCCCAGGAAGTTTTCTTGATGTTTATCTCTGGGGAAAATGTGGGTGAGCAATAATCTGTATCTCAGTACTTATCAAAAGTTCTAATACAAGTTTTCTCATAAGTTGGTTTTAAACTTGAATTTGTATAGCTACCTTTTTAAAGAGAGGGTAGGCTCTACCTTTATATGGTTACTCATAAGTCATCTTTTCCCTTTTTTCAAGAGCATAAAATAATGGTACTATTATAAGTTTCTCACTGAAAACGTTAAGACAGCATATTTCCTAGTTAGTGCAGGAAAGAAAAGTAATTTAAACAGTTTTCACTCAGTCATGATTAAGAGAATGTGTGGTATGTTTTTTTTTTTTTTCATTCCTAGAGAGGAGTTTATATAAGTGTGACTGATTACCAGTCAAATCTATACAAAACATTTTGGTAATCCTAAGAAAGTAAAAGCAGTATTTTGTTCCTAAAGTTAGGAATTCAAATGCAGGAATGGGTGGGGAGGGGTGGTGGTGGTGGTAAAAGAGTCAGGAGTAAAGGCTTTTACTAAGAAACACACAGCAAGAAGAGATGTCCGAAAAGGTGCCGCAGAAACAAGTAAACAGAAATACTCTAACACCTCCTACCCCTACTCCATTTCAGATTATAAAGCACCTGTTACAATGTACTAGAGTTTAGTGATTCCATATTACATTATAAATATATCTTTCTTAAAGAATCTATAGAAAATATCATACATATAAAATTGCTGTATATTGCAAAATAGTTTAAAACCTAAAAATTTGTATAAGCATATCTATCGATATAAAACATTACTTTTTCTCCACATCAATTGGGTTTTTCTTTAAATCCATATAATGGTATTGTTTCCAAAGCCCATCATAAACCCAACCGACTTATACACTATTTGAAATACACATATACATATATATACACACACACTCATACAGGATATGAACACATATTTGAGCCTTCACAGAAAAAAAGCAGTCACCGACAAAGCATCTTTTCATAGATATTTGTGTTTGCAAAGTGTTTTAATGTGGAAAAATAATTTTTAACTAAATTCTGCTCCTAATTGAACACAGTAGGCATAATAGTTTTAGCTGCCTATCACATTCTAAATAAATTTCTTGATTTTGTTACAGTAAAAGACCTAAACATTTATGTATGAAATTCCTTATGTTCCCTGTGTTAAGGGCCTATTCTAGATTGACTCTAGAATAAGAGGGGGTTCTCAGTGTACTACTCTAACAGCAAGGACTTGTGATCATACCTTAAGTCCTTACAAAAAGATTTTAGCACTTGCGTATCCAACCCTTCCTCTCTGGGAAAACCTGCTTGAAAGAGAATTCTGGGCTTCAGACTTTACCATGTGCACCTTGAAAACTGTGGAATGTCAGTACTGAGTTCTAGGTCAGGGATGCTACAAGACTAGCAGCCAGAAACGCAGGCTTTCTACCTGTTTACCTGACATTTAATAACAAGAAACTCTTGGTTTGACAAAACAATCACAACTTGCTTTTTAATGGCATCAATGAAATAACTAATCTCTTGGAAGTGCTGTCAGAAAACAAATGTTTTCCTTGCCTTTCGATTAAGCTGGTCAGCTAGTGTGCTTGATAACATTTATCTGGGGAATGTAACCCATACATATATATATAGTTTATAGCCTCTAGCCTCACCTAGTAAACCACATAATTATTTGTAAGAAAAACAATTCGTGAGAAGCAAAGCACAATGCAGATAAATAGTCCACTAATAGAAAACTCTATGAAGTAAAATATAGTAATTAGAGAATCTAACATGTAAAAACAAATCATTTACTTATATAAAGGTTACTGTTTATAAAGCTTTAATTCAATTAGGTTACATTTTTTCAGTTGGAGGTTTTAAATAATCATGTATTTAACCAAAATATTTTATTCCCCAATCACTGTTGGGTTATTATAGAATACTAGAGTTCTTATTAATAGATTTAGTGTGGGCAATTTAAAATAAATGAGATAAAAAGTGCCAAACAATTTATGGGATTGGGAGAAGAGAAACATTCCTGAATGTTTCCAAAAGAAACATCAAAGGCAAAATAGATCCAAACCCTTCAAACTGGGTCAAATGCAATTTAATATCTGAGTAGGCACTTTAAACTCAGAAGAGGGGAATTTTTTCTTCTCGTATCCCTTCAGTTCTCCTCTTTGGCATGTAATAAAGACATGATTTGCTACTGTAGCCCCTCATATCTAGGACAAGACAAAATAATAGAAACAAAGGAGTGAAATCTGTACCTGAGGAGATTATTTAAAAAAAGTACTGTGATTAGTTATTAAGTAATGGGAAAAAGTGTGAATCGTTCCACCGACTGTGTGATCTAGAAGATTCTACTGGCTTATTTTAAGTGACTTTAAAGACAAGGATGTTTAGTGTCAACTTTTCCAAGCTTATGTCTGACTCTGATTTTCAGATATACCCTTGTCACTGCCACTTACGCAAGCCTTCCAGCTGCGGGGACCAGCTTCACTTTCCGGCATAAAGGGCCGCACGCAGATGACACATACTGCTCTCGAGCCCCTGACTGGACTGAGGGGCATACAGCACTCACAGTGGGTGAGGTCTTCATATGTAAGGAGCACATGTCTTAAAAAAGACAGCAGTTGAAAGGGGCCCCATCAGGTGACATGGAACACCACTCTTGCCCTGTGTGGTATATGGCAGATACAAACCCTCGTGGTGGCTGAAATTTGGGCAAACTGCCATACTTTGTAGATGAAAAATCTGTACTAAACCCACTGCTGGCAATTGTAAGTTATAGAAAAGGCTCATTTCTTATCTCCTTCTTTTGCTCCGGATCCATGACAGACACCAAGACGGGTAACTGCATTTTTAGCATGTTCTAATTGACGTTAATGACACCTATTAGAGAAAAGCAACAGGTATGTCCCCAAACCCACCAGGCACATACAAAACACTTTTCTATTCAGTGGTTGCCTCCATTTCAGTATGTGCTATAAGCCACCAATTAATGACAACACTGGAAAAACATAATGCAGTAGTAGTAACACACAACCAACTTTCAACAGTCATGGACCCCAACACACACACACACACACACACACACACGCACGCACACACACACATGCGCGTGCGCACACGCACTCCTGCTATTTGGGGGTATTCACCGCTGAGGGGAGAGCTTGGGAGGTCTCCCCAGGTACATAATTCACCACCTGAGGAGGTGCTGTCCAGGTAAGTATAAGTTAGGGTGAACTCTGTTTGCAGCGAGCCCACGGCAGCCAGGCCCGATGCTGACACCCTGTCCCGGTTTACTGCTTTGGGGACAGGTACCTTAAGACTGTGGACCGGCTCAGCACCTGCAAGCGTCAGCATTCGCTCGTCTTTTCGTGGAATATGAAAGGCAAACTCAGGTTTCTTTGGTGATGGTCGTTGGCTTGAATGGCAGATTTTTCTTCCGTCGCTGCATGAATGTGGTCTGAGCAAGTCCCTTCTTCATCTTCACCCCGCGGATTACCCTCCAGGCTGTGTCTAATACCATAAGCGAAGTAGATCAGGAAACCTTTTTGAGGGGGGAAAAATTTAGTGTTTTAAGCATGTCAGAAAATGTTTCAATATGGAAAATTTAATATAGAATTTAATATTCTGCCTTCTCTTTCTGGGCTATTTTAGGACAGAATGCAAGAGAATTTCCCTGCAGAAGGTCCCTGATGGGTGCTTTCCCAGCACAATGTGTTTCTCCATTTTTAATACCCAATCTTTATAGAATGTATATTTCTCTCAATAAGTGTTCTTAGACATTTATGTCAAAAAATACATTTATTTTCTCAAAACTCAATACTACACTATAAACAAAAGGATATGGGGGGGTGTGAAATCTCAAAATGACATCCCAAACACAGGTGGTGAGGGGTCAGAGACACAGTGAAATATCTTGGAAAGCACGCCCTATGTAAACAAAGGGGACACGTGTCGACACGTTATATACTGTGCGCCGACGCACCAGCACCCCAGATCCCTGGCACAGTGTGAGGGCCCCAAAGTACGGCAAAACTCTAGTGTGGGTGTGGGGAGATGAGCAAAACTGACGGGCGTCAGACCTCCCATCAATTCAAGTGGGTTGGTGGCTTGAAATTGAAATGAAGTTAATTTCTAGCCAAAGTAAACAATTACATACGCAAGAGTGAGTTAGGTTCATTCTTGCTAAGCCAATGGGCAGACTGTTAAAAAGCACACTCTTCAACTACATGGGTGACCCAAACAATGCAGATTTAGCTCTCATTTCTCACTGCTTCACCTTACAGACATTTGTCCACACATTTTCTTTAAAAATATTTATGTCTGATAGAGACAGTGGGAGCAGGGGAGGGGCAGAGAGAGGGGGAGACAGAGGATCCGAAGAGGGCTCTGTGCTGACTGCACCCAGCCTGATGTGGGGCTCGAACTCACAAACTGTGAGATCATGGCCTCAGCTGGAGTGGGATGATCAACCAACTGAGCCACCCAGGTGCCCCTCTCCTCACATTTTTAAGACAAGTGCTCAGGGCTTTGGTTACAACAAATGTAAACTCTTAGTTTATAACTCAATTTTTCACATAGGAAAGGAATCATACTGAAAAACAGTGTACTATAGATATAAATAAGCTCACTCATGTGAGCAGAAAAGAAATTTCTTGCTATTAGCTCATTCAAAATGTCTTCAGGGGCACCTGGGTGATTCAGTTGGTTAAGCATCTGACTTTGGCTCAGGTCATGATCTCACAGCTTATGGGTTCAAGCCCCGTGTTGGCCTCTGTGCGGACAGCGTGGAGCCTGGAGCCTGCTTTGAGTTCTGTGTCCTTCTCTCTCTGTCGTTCCTCACTCATGCTCTCTCTCAAAAATAAATATTTAAAAAAATTAAAACAAACAAAACAAAAAAAACCCCCAAAATATCTTCAGAAGTCCGCTGATACACTGACAAGAACAAACTTTGTAACCAAAGTCTTACACTGCCATTTACAAATTTGATCCTTTGGCTTTCTGGGGCTTCCTTTTTTTCCTCAACCATTAATGAGAGACAGCAGAATTTACAGGCTTACAAAGGACTAATGGGACAATGTGATTTAAAAAAAAAAAAAGGTATCTGAAAACATTTGGAGAATTAAGTACTCTGATGATCTAAAATTTGGGAAAGGAAGAAACTGAAAGAAACCCTTTATTTCCAGGAAGGGGGAGAGGATGCATTTCTCTAATCAAAGAGCATGAAGCTGGAAAGACAGAGCCGACGTTCAGAAAGCTAAAACATTAAAAGACCTACCAAGTGCCATCCAGATGCTAAATCGGATCCATGTGTCTGCGCTCAACTGAACCATCAAGTAAATGTTCACCAGGATGCTGAAGGCTGGCAAAAATGGTAAGAATGGCACCTAAGGGGGAAACATATCTTCTTAACTATACTCGTAAGTGGAAAGCACACCCCCCAAACAGTGTCGACACAGTGACAACTAACTTGACGTATGTACTGTCACACTGTGTCACTAAGCTTATATTCTGACAAAAAGAACAACCTGAAGGAAAATCGTTCCTGGAGAGCATACTAAAGGAGTGTCCCATTTTACACTATTTATGCGCAGCCCAGAGCATCGGGGAATTTACCCAGCCTGCTAACATCTGTGTCATCACCAAGATGCAATGGGTTTCAGGGTTTGGTTTAGTTTAGGGTTTACTGGCTTAGTTCAGATAGCAACAGGACATGCCTCCGGAAGTCTGGAGATACTTGGCATCTCAGGGGAATCCTTCCAGGAAGCCCTCTTCAAGCCCAAACCTGCTCTTAGTTCAAATCTAACAGCAGAATTATAGCAGAAGGGCTTGGAGTGGGAATGATCATCCCAAGAGAGTACTCAATCTCTAAAAGAAAATCTTCTCCTTATTCCTTGATACCATGGATTACTTGACAACAAATCTGTTTACTATTATACATAATAACGTGATGGGAGCATATTCAAGGTTTTGAGAAGCCACGCAGGGAGAATACTTACGACAAAAAGAACATCTCAAAGAATCATGACACTCTTGTTCATGGTTAACTTCATCAGAAGTGATTTTTTTTTTAACTTATAAAACTAACACACAAGAGAGAATGTGCATAATATTTAGGACCTCTAATGTTCATGATTCATACCATGAAGGCTACTTTTTGCTGATTCTGGGGCTGCCTCCAAATGGTGAGCACGACGACGAGGCAGAGAACGAGGAACAGCACAAGCAGAGCGACACTCCACACCTCCAGCCGGGCAATGGCATGCACTCCGTACGTGGTCAGGACGCTCAGACCCAGAACCAGAAAGGCTGTAAAGGTGATGCATACAGAGAACAGAGTCAGCGCCTGCATGTCACTCAGACTCCCTCACTTCAAGCAGTCTATTTTGGTACGATATCAAGTTCTTCTGTCTCTTTTTTGCCAAATACTAAGTCTTCATTTCCATCAAGGGAAGGAATGGCTGATTCCACTCACTTAAGCACCTCTGCTCGCTTCCTCCTGAAGGTCTCCTCCTCCCTTCCTGGCACCACCATCTTGTTCCTCCTGCCCATGCGCCCTCTGGGTCCTCCTTTGCTACACTCTGACTGTACCACGTGGGTTGACGGGATACTGTCAGGGCTGGAGAGGTCCCTGTTCTCAAATGGGAAAGGCCAGGTCTGCCCATTGTCCACGGGGGTAAACAGTGATTGTTAACGCAAACAAATAATACGTGATTGTGTCTTTTCCCCCTACTTCCAAAGGTGATGTCACCACCCACCCACCCTTCTCTGACCATCACGTCCCTCCTCTGTGCTCTGGAGAAGCCTGTACCTCCTTAGCTTGTGACCAATAACCCTGTTCTGTAAAGCTCACCAAGAGCAGGAGCCCCTCTTGCGATGCCCAGTGCCCAGGAGCACTCCTGGCGTGTTGCCAGTGCTCGGTAAATGTGGCTGAAAATACCACCGATTACGTAACTGTGGATGAGCAAACAAGATGTTCTCCATTGCATCCCAGTTTATTACCAGCAGGTGTTCCCGGGAGCACCCGGACAGCCACTGAGATGTGCCAGTTTTGCACAGCGGCCACTCACACTTTTCTTCTTCAATGACAAGATAAATTTATCCCACTAATACATGCTCTCAACTACCACTGACCCGCTGGGCGGCAATTTCAGGGCTCAGGGCAGTGGCAAACGTATTCTAAGGCAAGGTAAGGCCTTCGGTCCCCTTTCACATCAGACCTGCTCCACCGACACAGCCCTGGGGACCTGGACACCGTGCTGGTCGGAGGACTTACCGAGGAATCCCACCAGAAAGCTCACGAGAGAAGATGACTGCTGTGTAGGCAGGGCCGAGGGGCTGACGAGGATCCGCAGGCTGAAGCCCTGTCCCTGCAGCATGGTGACCTGGGACTCGCTTTTCGAGGCGGCACCGACACACGATCCCAGAGCCTCTTTCTCAGGAGAGCATTTGGGCTGCTCGTACGATAAGCCGGGCTGGTACCTATCCCCAAATAAACGTCTGTGTCTTCATTCTCAAACAGACACTTGGCCCAAATGAATCGAACACCGTAAACTCTAAGTGAGACCCCTTGCAGGGTCCCAGCCTGTGCAGTAAACTGACGCTTGTCATGACTCCAGCCCAGAGCATGCTGAGCCAGGCCACAAACCTGTTCAATAAAACATCTGCAGCAACTCTGAATTTCCTCTGACAGCCATTTAATTACAGAGTGACACACAGATGTGGAAGAGAGTTACGTTTTGCAAGTGAGGCGACTGTGACTAGAGGATGATTATCCTGAAAACATCTGAGTCCAAAGAGAACACAGTTCAAGGACACAGCACAGAAACTCTGGTTAAGCATCAGCTACAGAATAACATCCAGGCTTCGGGTTGGCATTCAACTGCCGCTGGCAATCTGCCTCTCTGGCCTCCGCTCCCTCACCCTTCCTCTCCCAGTCCTCCAGAGTAACCCAGATGAGCTCCGTCCCCCATTCCGCCCCCTCCCAACCCCGTGTATGCCAAGTCCCTTTATCAATGTATCCTCTTCCTTTCCAGCCTATCAGCCTACTTCACCTCCCAGGATCTGCCCCAGTCTCCTCAGTGTGGTCTCCTTCCCTCTGAGCAGCCTTTCCTTAAATCTAAGAGTAACATTTGTCCTCAATCTAAAGAAGAAATATGCTCACTGAGGAACAAAATAGACAAAATATAAAGAAAAAAGTCAAAACCACCCATAGTACTCCTGGGTAACCATAGTACCCAGTGTTACTCACTGCCAGTATTTTGGGGCAATTTCAGCCCAGCCTAAATGCATATATATGATATGCATTAAAGAGATCATAAAATATGAATTAAAACGAAATCATAAAAATGATTTCTTCTTATAAATCTGTGGTATTATTTAAATAAATTCAGATGTTAACACAGCTTTGCTGAATCAGATACATTTCTTCATATAATTAAGAATCATATTATTTGCTGTAGAAGGAAAAGAGCACCCTCATTTGTTTAACCATTCTGCTATTCATATGGAGGTCCGTTCAATTTTTTTCACTATTGCAAATTACCTTTTTCTTAAACATCCTTTATATATCTATAGAGATATCCCTATAGATATCTGTATATATCTGTGTGTCCTCTTTGATTAAAATCTTTATAAAATCTTAACAGATTAACTACTGGGACAAAAGAGAATATTTTTAAGTGTTTTTATACATTTTAAGAACTTGGCATTCATACAGATTAGGCCAACTTACTGCTAATTATCAGCTGTACTTAATTCTTTGTTAAGTAAGGACTGGGGTGCTTGGTGAATCGGTCACTTAAGTGTCTGACTTTGGCTCAGGTCATGATCTGGTGGTTCCTAGGTTCGAGCCCCATCCTGGGCTCTGTGCTGACAGCTCAGAGCCTGGAGCCTTGCTTTGGATTCTGTCTCCCTCTCTCTCTGCCCACTGCAGCTTGTACTCTCTATCTCTTTCAAAAATAAACATTAATTCTTTGCTAAGGACTAAGTGTGTTTATTATACTTTATATTGATGTTTTTCTGTCCATGACCTCTCACCTCTGTGAGACCACTAGCTCCTCAAAAGCAAGGATGGAGAATCCTAATTTTCTGTATTCCCTGGGCTCCATGTGCACCAACGAGGACACTCACCTGAGGATGAGAACGCACGCAGCCACCAGAGAGTAGGCCAGGAGAGTGCCAATGGACATCATGTCCACCAGTGCCTTCAGGTCAAAAAGAAAGGCCATCACAGCTGTTGGGGAAAGAGCAGAATGGTGAAGAAAATGGCCTAGGATGTAACTCCATATAGTTGATAATTTTCATGTCAGGGACAACGGGCATTTTATGGTCTCAGTACCAACGATAAATCAAACAAACTATAGAAACTATATTTCTCTTAAAGAGATGTTCCTTAGATCATATACACTGCTAGTGAAACTTCAAAACCCCACAGCTATCTATCAAGTATAAAACACATCTACTTTGATTACTTGAAAAATATTGGCCTGACAAAGAGTGAAAATATCATATGACAGAACACTCTCCTTTGATGTTTCAAAGGAAAAACATTGCTCAGAAATAGGGACTAGCTCTTTTGAAATAACCAGTAAAAATTCAAATAGAGGAGCTTTCATTATGATGTTCCATAATCATGTGAATTTCCATCTGCATTTTGAATTATACATAAATGAAATAAAGTAATTTCCAATTAAATTATGTTTCCGGTATAGGTGAAATTCCATGCTGGTTAAGACTCCTCACTCAGAGAAGACGGACTAAATTTGAGAGATGAATCTATGTCCTACACCCAAATTGCAGTAATGTTACGAGGCAAAACATACTTTCTAGCTGAACAGTTAACTTGTACTTGGCAATTTTTTTTCTCCATTGAAACATCAAATACTGATAATATTACCTTGACTTGACCACATAGCTGTCTCTATCATTGTTAAGTAGAAACACCAGATTCTATTCCCATGGTGTTACCAGATGTCTGTTAGCAAGCTTTATATCTTTATGATCTCAATTTATCTTTAATCCAATAATCCTATGAGACAGGGGAAATTATATAGGCTTAACTATATGCAGTGGCTAGAATTTGACTGTTTTTGACCTTCAAACCAGCAATTTCACATGCTTTGACCTGATAAAACAATGATCCTTATTTTATAGATAGACTAACTTAGCAAGGTGGCAATAAAATTCCATGTAAACTCTATTTCTACCTGTTTCCCCACATTCCTTCTACATACTACATCACTTCTTTAAATGCGCCTCATGCCTTACTCTGAAAACCTTCCATTGCTAGTATACTTATACATTAGATTATGACAATTTCAGTATGTTTTATAAGAATCACAAATAGTAAAATAAGTAGTTGAGGCAGAAGAAAATGATTAATTATCCAGATAAGCTCTCTGATCTAAGCTAAAAACAAGCACAGTAAGGTGTGGGAGTAGACTAACAAAAATATAGTATTTCAGAATATTAAAAAAAGGCCTTCTGCTATAATTATCTTCTTTTAGTTATTAATGTCAGTATATTATGCTGCCAAATTAAATTCTTCCTGAAGAAAGAAGGATATATTTTGTAAAACACTGAATACAAAATAAAGTATTACAGGGCAAGATTTCACTGGGAAAAAATAAACATTCTAATGCAATAAATAAAATGTATGATCCTTTCTCAAGATTTGTAATTTCTTTTCACTAGCACAATAGACTGTTTGGTAATGAAATGGGCTTTTATATCATGTAGTGCAACCTTCATTTCATGGGGGCAGAAATCTAAGCATTAAGAAAATAAGTGACTTGACCTTCCAATGTATGTCTAATAAAGTGCCAAATTAGAAAACATTTACAACGTGAAGTTGTTTAAGCAGACACTTTCCTATTCTCAAAAAATACCATTTCATGCATAATTTGAGCATTAGCGTTCTGTAATTTCCCTCAAATTCAGAGTCTCAACCAAATTACCAGATCTGGTTTGAATTTCTACTACCAAAATAGGTTTATAAAGATTGATGAAGCCTCTCCCTTGTTTCCTAACAGGACCTTAAATTTAAGGCCATTCTCTTGGTCTGTAGAACCTTCCTGAAAATTCCTGCATGGAGTAAGAATCTAGCCAATGGCATTTTACACAGATATTATGACATCCCCAAAGGTAGGCATCTGCGAGTTTTTTTTTAACATGAGTTAAACACCAAAACAGTTGAAAGCAGAAACAGAGTCCAAATGGGGTTTAAGAAGAAACAGTTGTTAGTAAGTCTTAGAGACCCGTTGGGGGTCCAGGCAGTGCAGATATCTCCCACCCTGAGGACAGTTATTATCATAGCCACGTATAAATTACCCTGACATTTCTTATACTTAATTAAAAATGAGTAAAAATGCAGTGAAGACCCATTATAACCCTTTGCACATTTGTTAGGCACCCAAAAAAGTTAAAATTATAAAACAATAAACAATCCCCAAGGGTCAGTTAAGAATGAATTTCAGTAGACCACCACCACCACAATTTTCAGATCCCAAAGCTCATAACCTAATTTATCAGTGATTTTTTTTTCTTAACTTACATGCACAGCAAGCAGACCCTCTTTACACGTCCATGCATGCGCATAAAACGTTCAAGGCCAATGCTGAAGAATCCTATGTTTGTAAAGCTTACCAGAAATGACCCCTGCCGTCAACGTGGCAGCAACCGGTGACTGCCTCTTACTCACTCTGCCAAGAAATCTAAACAGTAAACCGTCTCGGGCCATGGCAAATAGAATTCGGGGTAAAGGAAACATAGAGCCCAGAAGACTAGAACAGAAAAATTCATAATCCTCACATGAGTTATTACAAGTATGATTCTAGACAGGCATACACAGGTAAAGACTGGACACACTAAAATGCAGAACCTATGCACCCACCTCCACCCCCCAAAAAAAATCAAAAAAGGAAACATTCACAAAAAAGTTATCGACCTTAACATAAAACAGAAAACTACCTAACTGCATTTCTCCTCAGAATCCTTGATGAAGAAAAGATCCCCCTTTTCTTAACAAAAGTCAACTCTCTCTCACCTGCCACCGCACCCGATGATAAAGTAGCAATTACTGGTGTCTTCGTTCTGGAATTAATTTGAGCTAGACATTTGAAAAGCAAGCCATCTTCCGCCATAGCATAGATTACACGTGGCATTGGGAAAATGGATCCAAGAAGACTGAATAAAAAGCAAACACATGCAGTATGGCAAACACATTCATGCAAGATTACGTCTGAGAACTGAAATTAAGTACGTGGATAAAAGTCAGCATCACAGCCATGATTATGACGTCTTGTTATTTTTAAATGGGTTACGATTGGGCATTTAAAAACATTTGCCAATATTTACCATTGTGCTACTTATTATTCTGTTGTAGGTATTTGCCCAGCACACTTATCACGCTAAGAACAAGAGTGCAAGTAATTTGTGCATGCCCATGATTATTACTGAATTAAAACTAAATACTTAAGATTTAAGAAAACCAAAACCAATCATAGCATTAAGACATTTTTAGTGGTAGTAATTAAGAAAACAAAATTTCTAAACTGATATGAAATTAAAGAAGAGATTAAGTAATTTGAATTCATAATATCATCACTTCATTTATTCAATAATTATGTACTTCTTATATTTATTTTACCATTAGTTTTCCTCATATAGCCTGATATTTGATCAAATTAGTAATAATACCCAGCATCATAAGATAGGGTAAGAGAGAGAGGGTAAAAAAGAAAAAAACAACAACAACCCAACTTACTGTAAATTTAGCACACAGAAGTAGCCACGATTAAAAGTCAGGAACAGCAAAGTTTTAAGAAAACGCTCTTTGCTTTAGATGTTTCAAATTTCTTTGTGTTTACTGGCTGCACCAATCCATACATGACTTAGTTATAAAAAAAATAACCATTTGAAAGAAAATATGTAAAATATTTTGTTTTAAAAACTCATTTTTCTTTATCTTTTGATAAAGCTGACTTGAACTTGGCCACGTATAAATCCGTCTATCTTCTAAGATCATGATGGCATGATGCCTTCATAATTCAGATTTTTCAAACTATTTAGAATAAACGTCAACACTAGCAGATGGCTGAGAAACCAATGGGGGCAATTTCAAATTGCTACTAAATATTATCTTGAATAGAAAATAAACAGGATTTTTCTGATAGAGATGAAAAGCTAGGCTGATGAATTATACGAAAAGACTTTTTCTTTCCAATTCAGACGTTTAACAAATTATTTTCACTTAAAAAATTAGTAATCAGGCAAAGAGATTAAATTTCTCTTTGTAAGAATGTTCTTCAGTAACCCATGATATAAACTAGAATGAAATATCTTATAATTGCATGTTAATTTGCAATGTGAGTAGCTCAGAGAACCGGAGACATGGATTCTCAAGTCCAAAAACAAGTAGCTCCTGAAAATCTGAGCACTTGAGATTCCATTACCCTTTTCTTTCCACAAAGACCTTGTATGAACTTCCACCATTAATTTCAAAACAGTTAATTTCTATTTCTAGACCAAGTTCACTCCGATCAGTACCAACAGAAAGAGTCTCAGTGTTTCACAGCAAAAAACACATTACATTAGACAATGTCACAGCATATAGTTCCCAGTCACGTAGACTTACTATTATTTTAAAAGGCAACAGAAAATGTCAAGTCTCCACATAAGGTCTCGGTGGTATGTAGCACTACAAATAATACCAAAGCCAGCAGGGAACATGCTGGTATAAGGATCCTAAAATTTTATAATACATACATATAGGAAGACATGTGACATACATGTGTGTGTATGTTTACATGTACATCAATGCCGTATACATTTCTACCGAAGCTCCGACCACCATTATCTTGAAAAACTCACTTTTTAACTGATGGGTGAAAAACAGTTTATCACTTAAGACTTTTATACGGAAATACGGAAATCCTGGTCAAACTAATCAGAGAATATGTAGTTGTATAATGTATACCTTATACTAGGATTATTTTTTAAACTTATCACAGCAGTTCTGTAAACACTGACTACTCTGCAGCCCCGCCCACAGCCCCGCCCACAGCCCCTAGACCAGGCACTGTACCTTGTTGACAGAGCACAGAGGGAGCCCGCGGCAACAATGTATTTGGCAGGCCCCCATCCGACATATTCAAATGCTACGGGAAGAGGGCTCTTCTCATCGAGGAGGTAGTATGGCATCATAAGTGTCAAAGCTGCAGAGACCCCAAAATAGGCCATAAAGCAAACAAGCAAAGAAGTCACAATTCCAATAGGAATCGCCTTCTGAGGATTGCGGACTTCTTCACCTAAGGAGACATAAATAAAACATTTGCATATTTACTAAAACATTAACCGATGAAACATGGATTCCTTTTCTCCTTCATAGTAATTTCCCTCTGCTTTTGTCCCTTCTGTTTTCTTAGCTTGCTCCATCTATTTTACATGAAATGCTCTTTCTTCTTGAGGGTATTTTGCTATTACACAAAATCCCGATTCCCAGAGGCAAGAAGAGAAAGCAAGAAATCATGCAGGTCAGTTTCCCATCTCTAGAGAGAAAAAAAAAAACCATGACATACCAGCGTATTAAATATTTTGGGATAGAATAGCAGTCTTAATCCATTTGGAAAATGATTCATCCACAGAAATTAAATGACTGTCATGGCATTCTGTGGGCCCTTCCACAGGAAGGCTTCCATAAACATGAAGGTACACTTTTTCTACCCAGTGTATCAATTTATATTAAGTTCCAGTTTCAAAAACAACATAAATAGTACTCTGAATCTTTCTAGTAAGAGTCAGCATTTGCAGCGCCCCCAAATGGTCAATTGCAAGGCCGTACAGTTATCTGAACCCAGAAGCAGTGCTCAGAGAGTGATTCTGGCACGATTACTCTGTTGCAGAAGATAAAAAGAAAAGAATTACCAGACTATATTTTATCCTACTAAAAAAGAGACAACTTAAGAGCATGATCATCATTTGTTACTTATTGTGATAGTACTGAAGGTTACTTCCAGACTGAAGGTTAAGGACAGCAATTATGACTAACATTTATAAAATACTTTGACAGCTTGCAAAGTATTTTTCATGTGCATTATATCTTAAGTGACCTTCATAACAAGAGGGGTAGGTACTGGCTCTCCCAATTTTACCAATGTGGAAGGCTCAGGGAGTTGCACTAAGTTTCTTTTTATCACATACAGTAGGTTTAACAGCTGGGTCCAGAACCAGCCCTGATTACCCTAAATCTCACTCTTTCCTTGACCCTCTGCTGCCACCCGTGGGTACTTGTGTAGAACAAGGAACACCTTTCCTTCCACAGAGAACCAAGATTCTGCCCTTACCAGTTGTTGCAATGCAGTCAAATCCCACGAAGGCATAGAAGCAGGTGGCGGCTCCGGCCAAAGTCCCCGCAAAGCCATAAGGCATAAAGCCCCCAGTCCCATAGATACTTGTTCCGTTTTCAGAAGGTAGATCTCTAAGGAGGAAGACAAGCACAATGGAAAGTTATTTTCATAGAAAACTTTCTTCTAGTGATTTGTCTCCAACTCCATCCTTGGAAAGCTATTGTGTTCACCAGCTCTTTGAAGCTTACATACCTAAAATTATCAGTAAATCCCAATTTTCTCACCCTGTCCTAGAGAATGGAGTGGGTTCCCAACAATGGCACCCTCCTGGGTTGCTGACACTCAACTGGAAGCTGATCAATAGCATAAGCACAAAGCCCAGATCCACTGTGGCTTGAACTCACAGTCACGCAGGATGGTGAGAGCAGAGATACTATATGTGGGCCATGCTCTGAAATAATGACATGAAGCGTCCTCTTCTCCTGGACAGCTGGGCAGACTGCACATTTATATATTTTACTAATGAGGCATTCGAAAAGGTGAAATCAAATTCTCTACTCTGTATTAGTAATATTGAAGTAGAAAATGTTACTATATGTTACAACTTGTATAAAACCAGAGGCACCTAGATGACCCCATTGGTTAAGCATCTGACACTTGGTTTAAGCTCAGGTCATGATCTCACAAGTTGTGAGTTCGAGCTCTGCGTCAGGCTCTTTACTGACAGCTTGGGATTCTCTGTCTCCCTCTCTTTCTGCTCCTCCCCTGGTCACACTTTTTGTCTCAAAAATGAATAAACATTTTTGAAAAATTGTATAAAACCAGAGGATACTAATTTTTTACCTCAAAAGAATGACTATACACATTCATAAAGAAAAACATGTAGTTATACCTCACTTCATGTAATAGATCTTTCTGTAACCTTATTTTATTTACACATAGGAATATTAACATAAATCTTAGGATGAAACCTTTTGTATACAATTATTACTTATTTATTTATTTATTTTTACAAATAGTTTATTGTCAAATTAGTTTCCACATAACACTCAGTGCTCATCCCCAGAAGTGTCCTCCTACTTATTTAATTTTTTGAGCCTGTCAGGTTAAAAGTAAAATGCATGGACAATTCTGTTTTTGCGACCAATAACATTCTCCAAAAATCGAAGCCTAAAAGATACTACCAGGCTGTAAGAATGCAACAAAACCAAACAGTGTTCCCAACGGAAGGAAGCACGAAGGGACGCCAGCCTAAGGATAGCCACGGTTTGTGAAAGGGGGCAATCCTGTGTGGGGAAGGAGCATCCTTCCACTGCTTAGGGTCTCATCTGCTCTTCTGCAGAGCTGGACGCTGAGAGCCAGCTCCTGCTGGGCCTCACAGAGCTGCTTGAGAGTGAGCACACTTAAGCATTTATGTGTGCGGGGAGGCTGGGAAGAAGAGTCTTGGAATAGAACAGACCCTCAGAAATCTCTCCTAAGCACAAAACTTGAGAACCACTGTTCGCAAAGGAAAATGTAACATAAGATAAAAGCAGCAATTGGGCAATTGGGGGCGGGGGGAGGGGGGAGTAATCACTCAAGAAGGGGAAAAACCCAAATATTATACCTGGCACTTGCTGATATATTTTTGAGAAACTCTTCACTAATCTTCCAGTTTGCCACATTTCCTTTCACAAACCCAGCAACCATAACAAAGAGAAGGACCAGGATATTAACAGCTGTGAAGATTTTATTCACCCAAGCGGATTCTTTCACTCCAAAAGATAAAAGACCTATGGACAAAGAAAGGGTGTTTTAATTTTTACCCAAGTTTAGTAAACGCAATGGCATTTGGAGGCAGTTACAGGGTTTAGGATATTATTTCACCAGGATTCATATATTTAACTTAGATTTATCCCTTGTATTGACAGTTTGGCCTCATCTAACTGTGTAATGATGTTTCCTACAAACAATCAACTTGGTGTCAGAACAGACTGTGCTCATAGTCAGGGCTGCCACGCTTCAGGAAATCAATAGATCCAGTAACTTTGGCTATTATTACCAATGGATACACAGAGTCAAGTAACTGAATTTTAATGAAATGCTCTTCTGAAGAAGCCATCTCAAGGTTAGTGACTGCAAAATTTTGAAAATAAAAGTTCAATCAAATCACCCACCTGCTTATTTACAGAATACATACAACAAAATAATTCTTCAACTGCTATACCAAAAGGATATTTAAAAAATCGATTCTCATTTTAATAGCTTTGTTTTATATTCTGATTGTAAAAGCAATCATTTTCCTATTCAAGTAATTTGAAGATACAGAAAAAGTATGAAGGAAATAAAGATCAAGTGTAATCTCTTCCCCAGAATTTTAGGCGTGAGCACATATGCATGCACACAAATATGTTTTCATGTTGACAGAGAACCTGATTTTTAACAGCCACATACTCTTCCACAGTACAAAGACACTATAATCCCTTATTTATTTATAGACTGACAGGTAACTCTTAGTTTCTTACAACTATAAATAGTACTGACATCATGGCATCACCCTTTATAAGTATCTTTTTACACTTTCTAGTTATTCCTTTACAATAATGTTATGTAAGGTAATACCACATCAAGGGTATGCCCTTTCACACTAGGCTTTCGGTTCACATTATCAGAAATATTCTCCAGAAAGTTTGGTCCAATTGGAGCTGCCCATTTTTTCCACTAGGTTATTCTATTTATATCAATTTGTAAGATTTATTTATATAATAATGCAAGGAGCTCTCTGCCTGTCATGTATTGCATATGTTTTTCCTACTTTATCAGTTACTTTTATTCTTAGTGCTGATTATATATATGTATATGAAAGCTCTAAAACATAAATATTTTCTCTTTAGTTTTTCTACCTTTAGAAAGATTCTCCCCAAAATGAACCCCAAACGTTTATCTTTGTTTCCTTCTATCATGTCTATATTTATCATATTTTTATCTTTAATCCATCTAATGTAAGATATGAATTATGAACCAAAGAAAGTTTACTTGTCCCTCCTAGGGAGAGGATTGTGACAAAGGGATTATGTCACATAACTACTTACTTCTTCCACAAATCCATACCACCCAGGATCGAATAAGCAAAATTACTCAAGTAAAGAAGAGAGAGCCTGGATTTCATCCTTCTACCTATATAATTCCCAGAATTTTAGGACGGTGTGATTATAATGAAAAAAAGAGAAATGCATGAACAGTATCATTGCTGGCTCCGTCACACTAGAAACCTCTATACAACTGCACACTTCGGAAATACACTCTATTCACTGCACCCCTATCCACTTGGAAAAAAAATAAAAGCCACTGTCATGTTTCATGAGAGTTTCCCAATACCCCATGTGCATGCTCTATTCTGAGATCCCTACCGCCTGCCAATAGATTAAAGACCCATGACTATCTCCTCTAAACACTGCATACACTTCCCTGCATCTTAAATAAAGCAAGAACTTCAGATGACAAGACATTTGGTATTACAATAGAAATCGAAATTTATAATCAGAGATTTTGAGCTTCAGATATTCTAAGGACAAAGTTATCAGGTGAGCTTAGGCTACATATAAGTAAAAACATACTGGTCAATGACACAGGACAATGATGCAGGCCAGTGTCTGAGATGTGCCATGGACTTTCATGATTCTGTGTCACAGCTACATGCTTCTCATCGCTTAGAGATTAAAGCTGAATATGTTAAGACATTGAAACCCATCCCTAAATAAAATATGATGTAACTAATTTAATGTTAGCTAGGCTGTTTACAAACCAAAACAAATGAAATCTATGACCTGTTGAAAACAATTGTTGCAATTTTTCTTGACATTACAGGTAAGATGTCAAATATTTCAGAGCTATAAAATCTGTTCATGTCCCAATCCCTACACAAAATATTTAATAAATGACTAACTTTTTTAAAGATAAAGCTATTTTTTAAATTATATAATTTAATAAGTAAGACGTTCATTATGGAAAGATGTATCTGTCATGCCTTTGTAACCATGGGAGAGAGTAGCTGGAGACAAGGTTGGACAGGAAAATAAGGGGCAGATTATCCAGGGTACATCAGGTAGGAACTGAGAAAATAGACTTTATTCTTAGTAAAATCCTTGATTGGTCTAAGCAGGAGGGCAAGTGAGGATGGCGATCAAAATAGAAAACGTTCAAATAATCAAAACAAATGTAAGGTGGCAGCAGACATTAAGTATGCCTATAAAATAAAACTGTCTGCCATCTAAGTGCTTACTATGTACCAGGCAGGAGGTCTGTATAAGACAGACACTGATATCCCCATTTTATGGATGAACAAACTGAGTCACAGAAAGATTTTTCTTTTTGTTATGTCCTTCAATGGTCCAAAGATAGTGAGTGGCAAAGTAGGACTGAAAATCTGGTTGTTCTGATTCTAACTCCTGTGCCTTTCTAAACCACTGTGCTACATGACTGATAAAAATGGGAAAATTCTAGCCCCAAGTATGTCTGTCCACATAATATCTACATTAAAAAATGACAGGAGGCTTGATTATACTTCCTTTTCAGCTAGATACCTACATAGATGAAGGCATAGATAGAGATTCTTCTAGATACCATGTGCATGCCCATATCCTTATTGTAGCTAACAAGATAAAATAATGCCAAAAAGTGTACATTCTTCCTTACTGAAACTTCATCCCTGCAAACCTCCAATTGCAATTATAATGATGTGCCTTATCCTGTTCTTTAGTGCATTCCGAGTACCATTTACCTAGAAGCTCTATTTCTCTTATTCCACACAATTTAGATTTATTTTTAAAACACGTCTATCCCATAAGAAAAAATGTGATTCTAGCCAGTGATGAGGCCCGCGGATGCCCAATGGTAACCTAAACAAATAAATATGCTGCCTCATCTTGGGAACTCAGCCCCCCAATCCAGTGGTAGCTTATTTTTCTGGGGTAAGGAAGTCTGGCTCATCTCAGGGAGGAGGTGATTGGCCTTCTTACCTGCCAGAAGTAATATAAGGCACACAGCAAAAAAGTCAGGATATTCTGCAAGGCCAGTGTAATTCATTTTGAAGTATGTCCTGAAAAACTGACCAATCTGTTTGCTAAGAAGTTCATCGAAGGTGCCACTCCATGCTCTTGCGACGCTTGATGTACCTTCCCAAGACACAGAACATACAGAGAATACGAGGTCACTGGGAGAAGACTAACATAACATCATTCGCTACTCTATTCTAGGATGAATATGGGTTTGTTCAGACAGAATCGAAAAATGTAATCACATATAAAAGGACCTTGATAAGTTTGTAATTATACATTGGTAACCAAATGCTCAAGTCTATAACTGTGGAATCAATTAACTTTATTTGCATTAAAGAATTATCGTTATTTATTTTATTTTAGAGAGAGAGCAGGAGCAGGAGAGAGGGGCAGAGGGAGAGGGAGAGAGAGCAAGAATCCCAAGCAGGCTCCATACTCAGCAGGGAGCCGGACGCAGGGCTCCATCCTGTGACCTTGGGATCATGACCTGAGCTGAAATCAAGAGTCAGGCACTCAACCAAGTGAGCCACCCAGGCACCCCATGGAACCCACTAAGCAGCATACTCAGAGATGAAGCAGAATCACTGAATTTTGCAATTAGGAGACACTTGAGAGGTGAGGTAAATGGGACACACAGGGGTCAAGTAATTCACTCACCATCACATAGTCACTAACTAATGAAGACCTACAAAGATACCCCAACGCCTCCACCACAGTGCTATTTCTCCCATCCCACAAAACTGGATCGATTTTTTTTTGAAATGTACCTATCACATAAGATAAAATGAGATTCCAGCCGGTGATGAACGCCCACAGCTCTCCAACGGTGACGTAGGTGTATAAATATGCAGACCCGGTCTTGGGAACTCGGGCCCCAAATTCAGCATAGCAAAGGCCGGCCATCACGGAAGCCAGGGCAGCAATGAGGAAGGACACCACGATACTGGGGCCGGAATCTGCCTTGGCCACTTCCCCAGCCAGGACGTAAACCCCAGCCCCAAGAGTGCTGCCAACCCCCAGGGCGATGAGGTCCATGGTGGACAAACAGCGGCATAATTTGGAATCTTCTAGACTGTCCAGAGTGACAATTTTTCTCCGGATCAGACATCGAGCAAATGACAGCACTGCTCCGCAGGGAATCATTCTGAAGAAAGTAGCCTGAGGAAGAGAAGAAAGGAGGTTAAAAGCGGTTCTGGAATCACCATCGCTCCAACTATTGGCCCAGTCTCAACACGATTACGGCACCATTTTGTTTTTATTTCTTTTTGACTCATTACTAGGAACACAGCCTTAGAGCAATCAGACAAAGAAGGCTGAAAAAGCCAAAGCTGTGAATTTCTTAGAGTTCACTAATACATGGCCTTTTCTAAGAGACTGCAACAAATGGCTGATCTGGGGAACAAAGGAATAGGAGTTCTGGGTGGTTTTATAAAGATTTGCCATTTTTGTTCATTTGTGCTGCTACAATTTTTAAAGAGATGCTGATAGAAATCCCGTCCAGGACATGGCTCATCTGTCCTCACTACAAGCAAGGAGATGAATTACCTCATCTTTCTTTTCTTCAATCACTCATTCAACTCATATTTTTTATGCCTTATTGAATGCTAGGGATTGTACTAAGACACAGAGCGCCTGGGTGGCTCAGATGGTTAAGCATCTGACTCTTGATCTTGGCTCAGGTCATGATCTCCCTGCGTGTGAGTTCGAGTCCCCTGTTGAGGTCTGCGTTAACCCTCTTGGGATTCTTTCCTCTTCTCTATGCCCTGTGTAAATGCACATACTTTTTCTCTTAAAATAAGTAAATACACTTAAAAAAAGAGAAGCATATCTAGAATGGGGTGGTGTGTATTCATGGTCTCCAGCTTTATGGGGCCTGCAGTCTAGCTACTGTCTGAAAGCTGGTAAAATGCGCCATCATTATGTATGTCACAACTTTATCACATACATGTGAGCTCTGTGTTCAGTGTAGTCTCTTAATGCAAAGCCATTTGAACCTTTTAGAATTACCCCCAAAACACACTTGGATTTTTCTGAATAAAATTGCTATTCCGTAATGGTTTGAGTATGAATTTGTAGTAAAACATACATGCTCATTTACAATGACTTGAGATTCCTAAATAAATAACTAAGCCCAAAGTCCAAGCCAAGTATTATGTGTCCTTTTTTAAATGGAATGAATAAGGTAGACAGAAAGACTTACTCCCCATACTCTGTAAGCCCAAACAACCTAACAGCGAAAAAAAATTATCAGGCTATAAAACAAAGTATGGATCTTAGTAAGGAAAAAATTATATACATATTATAGTAAAAAGTCTTAAGTAAAATATACCAAAATATTAACCATGATGATCTCTGGGTCATCTCTACTTCCATGTATTTAATAGATTACATATTATACTGCTAATATATATTTCTAAATGATCTCTAGGAAACATGTGTACCTTATATGCAAAATACATATTAAAATTAAAAAGCCCTACATGGTCTTGTCTACAGAGACATATACCTCAGCAGACTAGGAAATAACTGAGGAACAGGGAATACAATAGTACATTCAGCTTATCAGTCAATCAAATTAAATGTATTTAACTCTCAAAAGTTCAGAGTCCTGCTTGCCACTTCCGTACAATGATGTAGGACTGAATGCAGTTTCCTTCAATCCCATTGTAATATTAATAACCTAAACTCATGAGACTTCAACTTTGCACCTTCTCTGAAGAACTGCGAGCTTCCTATCTCATAAAATAAACCCCTGAACATTTCTCAACCTTTATATCTATAATAGACAACTACTATTAAAATTATTTTATTTAGAAACAATAAATAAGATGAATGTTCCATGTTAAATCTAAATGACACGGTGCTCATAAGAGACACAGATGTTTCTGGGATATGAACCATCATGTTTTACACTAAACCTAGTAGATAAAGCTAACCCCCTGAACATAGTTCACATATCAATGTAAGTGCAAGCCCTTGATTTCAAGAGCAGCTAGTTCAAAGAATGTGGAGAAAAATCCTACAGAAGAAGGAAAATGATTGTGAAAAGCTCCTTGACAATGAAAAGAAATGCTTTTTAAAAATGTTTATTTATTTACTTAGAGAAAGAGAGGGAGTGGAAGAGAGAAAGGGAGAGAGAGAATCCTAAGCAGGCTCTGCACTTAGAGCAGGAGCCCAATGCGGGGCTCAGTCGTACAAACTGTGAGATCATGACCTGAGCCAAGATCAAGAGTCAGATGCTTAACTGACTAAGCCACTGAGGTGCCCCTGAAGTTTTACATACCAGTAGTGTCCACACCTTCTGACCTAGTGCCCAGCATGGCCCTTCACAGATACTCGTTGAAAAAATTTGCAAATACACGTGACAACTCCAATGTTGCCAATATGCCAGCTTCCAAAGTCAAAGCGAAATACTTCTATAAATCAAATGTGTATCAGCATCTACCCCTACCCAGCCCTAAGTAGCTACTTCTCAGGTAACACAGCTAGACGATAAGAAAGTGATCTGCTTAAAAAAAGAATCAAGAAGTAAAAAGATGAAGTTATATAAAAGGCCAAGAGAAAGCAAGTGAAGGGGTTTACTAACTGTTGGCCTTCTGTAACATGTGAGTGTTTTTACAAAGAGATGTGCAGAGATAAGGAGTAGGGATCACGGACAGCTGAAAAGTGCTCGGCAATGAAGAACCACTGAAATTTAAAACTTTTTTTTAATGTTTATTTATTTTTGAGAGAGAGAGAAACAGAGCACAAGCAGGAGAGGGGCAGAGAGATAGGGAGACACAGAATCCGAAGCAGGCTCCAGGCTCTGAGCTGTCAGCACAGAGCCCAACATGGGGCTAAATCTCAAGAACCTTGAGATCATGATCAAAGTTAGACACTTAACCAACTGAGCTCCCCCGGCACCCAAATCCACTGAATTTCAGTAATGATTTAAGATCATGTGAAAATCAGACATGTCAACTATGACTTTAGGAAACAAGTGATAGGCAAAATGAGGCATACCTGTTCCTCACAGAACTAAGCGAAACATTCTTGATAAAGGACTAGATTAACCCAAGTTTTTATGAATAAAAGATGAAAATTCTGCAACTATTGCATATTCAAAGGGAAAGCATCCAGAAGGAAGCAAAGCAACCAAAAAGAAAAGTGGCAGGATTGTGGGTGGGCTTTTATTTACTTTTTAAAACTTTTTTTTCCGGTAATAGAGTCACAATGTTGCTTGTGAAATTTCTAAACAAAACAAAACAAAACCACACACACAGAAAACCCAGCATAAAAATTAAAGGGGCAAGCTAACCAATACTATAAACCTCTCTGAAATGTTAAAAAATAACCAACACTCTTAATAACATCTACCCCAAATGAATACATGAGTGATCGCCATCTTGTCAACAGAAAAGTGAATTTCATTTCCTCCAAATTACATAGGAAGCGAAATGGTTTACAGAAATGTATAGTTTTAATCAGGTAAGATCTGATAGCTACTGACTCTTCTGTATTAAACATGGAGAGAATTTTATGTTCAATTTTTCTATGTTGCCCTCAGGAAATAAGACAAAGCTGCCCTTCATCAAGCATTCATTTGCTTTGAGTAACAGAAATGCATACGTCAGAAACTCTTCTCAGTACCAACAGGTTACACAATGTCCCTCACAAACAATCTCAACTACGCACACCTGTCTGATAAAATACTGATTGCAGAAGCTATGACACAAACCAACTTTGCAGAAATATAATGGGATGAGAGAAAAGCAACGTAAAAACATACGGGGTCAATTTAATGAACCATTATTAAACAAACATACATTCAGTCCTGTAGCTTTTAGTCAAATAGACAACAGAACCCTGTGCTTTTGTAAAATAGGTTTTTGCGGAGACAGACCAATATACGGAAGTAGAATGGCAACAGGGGAATAAGAAAAAAACAGATACTTGTGCTTACTATGAGTGATATAATTTGGTATTTCAATATTTTTTATAACGTTTTCTTTAAAACATTTAAAAAAGATATGCTCCTTATGTGAGATGGTTAGCATAACTTTATCCTACTTCTCCAAGTTATTATCTTTGCTGAAAAAAAATCCACTCATACTTATCCTTTGAGTCAGGTCTGTACCCACCGTCCTTGCCTGGGCTCTGGTGTGTTGTTCTATCAACAAATAACTACGCAGGGAGAATTCACAGGGATTTTGAAGGTGACTCTATTGGTCCAGAGGGCACAGACAGTTTTTCCAAGAGCAGACAACAGTCCACACCATCACATCTACTGTCAGCTACTGCTGCTGTGACCCAGGGCTGGTATTTAATAGGAAACCTATAGGAAGGTAGTAAAGGATGGTCGTCCAGCCTTCTGGAAGAGGCCCGCACCAACACTGAGTCCCTCATGGCCTTAGCCTTAGGATATAAAAGCTCCAATCAACATTCCTCTGAGGTCACAAATGACTCCGGTTATACCAGAAACAGATATGTATCTTTCTTCAACCGTGATTTTACTAATTGCTAAGACAGCAGCCTCTATTGAAAAGGGAAAATAAACACACCTTAGCTTAGATCTAAAAATGCAGTTAAGCCCACGGAGGGCTAGAAGGGATTTACCATATACTCTGCCACAGAGAAGTCTTCAAATACATTTAATGAGACTGATGATACAATTAGATCTACCTCAGCCTCCTGCCCCTAGCCCAAAAGTATAACTGTTTCAAGACACCTAACTCCGTGACGGAGCCCTCTTAATTCTCGCCAGAAAGCTAAAGTACTTCCTCAGCAGTTTGGGATCACCTCCTTTCTCAAACTTTTCCGATGATCCAGGTTGCAAACGACAGTACAGAATTTTAGGTCAAGCAAATTCCTAGCCCTGATGAATTGACACTACCATAGAACGGACTTCCTTTCAACTAACCAGAGGAACATTCCAGAATCTGCTACATACGGTCAAAGTCAATCAAAAGTTTGATGTAGTATTTAGTCTCATAGAAATGACTCTTTCCCCTCCTTCCCTAAATAAAGTGAAATCTCTAACTTAATACTCTGTCAGTGTCACAGGCCCTGACAATAAGTCTCACAGGAAAAAGCAGCTGTGAGGTGGGCCTTCTAACAAATCCTCATCAAATGAGACGGTCAGAATCAGAACCAATTCTTCCTGC